CAACTGACAACTGACGCCCAGGAAAAAGCCAACCTATTAAATAGGTACTTTGCGTCAGTCTTTCATCAGTCCCATGGGACGCCCATGCCCACTATGGGACAGGGAAGTCTGGGTCAGGGTGATCCCCTGCCCTCCATTGATGCTGACTTCATGAAGGAACATCTTGAGACGCTGGATACCTTCAAGTCAGCTGGCCCTGACAATCTTCACCCCAGGGTACTCAAGGAGCTGGCGAGCATCATAGCCCAGCTATGTTGGCTAGCACTATGGAAGAAAGAGACTTGGGGGTCATCATTGACCACGAGATGAACATGAGCCTGCAATGCGATGCGGCGGCTAGTAAAGCGACCAAAACGCTGGCCTGCATCCATAGATGCTTCCCAAGCAAATCCCGGGACGTCATTCTCCCCCTGTACTCGGCCTTAGTGAGGCCGCAGCTGGAGTACTGTGTCCAGTTCTGGGCTCCACAATTCAAAAAGGATGTGGAGAAGCTTGAGAGAGTCCAGAGAAGAGCCACGTGCATGATCAGAGGTCAGGGAAGCAGACCCTACGATGACAGGCTGAGCGCCCTGGGGCTCTTTAGCCTGAAAAAGCGCAGGCTCAGAGGTGATCTGATGGCCACCTACAAGTTTATCAGGGGTGACCACCAGCATCTGGGGGAACGTTTGTTCACCAGAGCGCCCCAAGGGGTGACGAGGTTGAACGGTCACAAACTACTTCAAGATCGTTTCAGGCTGGACATAAGGAAGAATTTCTTTACTGTCCGAGCCCCCAAGGTCTGGAACAGCCTGCCACCGGAGGTGGTTCAAGCGCCTTCATTGAACACCTTCAAGATGAAACTGGATGCTTATCTTGCTGGGATCCTATGACCCCAGCTGACTTCCTGCCCTTTGGGTGGGGGGTGGACTCGATGATCTTCCGAGGTCCCTTCCAGCCCTAATGTCTATGAAATCTATGAAATACTAATGCTGGTGATACCCAGCATGCCTTACAGAACTGAGCAAACCAGCACACAGCAATATAACAAAACCCACAAAGAAAGGATTGAGCTCTGCTGTTCACTGGACAGATTGTTTTGAGTTTCCTTATCTGTTGTATGTCATGTCATGCTAATGAAGTTTCTGTGCTGTCTTTCCCATTGAATAGAAAGATGTGTAGTTAGCCAGGTGAACGTTTGTGCTATATCCATCTACCTATCCACTTTGGTTAGTCTATATCTAGAAGGTGCAAATCTACCCTGCTTTCTATTGAATAGTGAAGCCTTAGTCATAGAAGACTTCACCACAGCATCTGCAGTTAAACCTTTGTGGAAGAAAGGGGAAAATGGTTTGTATGCATTATCAAAATTCAACTGGGCCTCTCCTACTTGAGGCAAATGGAAATCTATTACATGCAGAGATGTATCCAGCACGGATTGTGCTGAGTCACCAAGCCACACAAGTTAAACAGGACATACTCACCTGACTAGCAAAGGCTTCATTGATTTCATATATGTCAATATCACTGATAGTCAAACCTGTATATTAAACAGATCAGAAAAAGGGATTTTATTATTCCCATGATTAAATGCTGCCTGAAAGATGATCACTCATAAATAGGACTCTAAATGAAATATACTGCTATTCCCTCCAAGGAAAGGAGGAGACACCTGGGTTACTGAAGCATAATTTGCTATCAGAGATCACAAAACTTCAAATTCAGTGGCAGATTGTGTAATGAAGTATTGCTAAACAAGACTCCCTTTACCCTGCCTTCACAGATGTTAAAGATCTCAGGGAATTTTCCGAGATTAAAAGAATTGTTGCTGAACACACAACTACAGTGATGCTAGACAGATTAGACGTGTGTGGCATTGTCACAACCATGAAGTTCTGTAACAGGGGTCACAGGGTTGTTACTGTTATCCAATTCCATTGGCAAACATGTATTTCCCGCAGGCAGACATGTATTTTCATGTTTGAAAATACACATGTATGTTCCCAGTTACAGCATACACAGTTACCATGCTGAACTGGCCTACTGTGGAGAAGTTAAAATGCTGGTCTAACCAGTGTGTGATCCCACGCAGAAACATCTCACTGCCATTCATGAGAACACAGTATTAGCAAATCAGGTACAAGTCACTGGCCCCTCTATGCTGTACACATACTGCGCCAGCAGTGGTGTGCTCAGGCAGACTGTACCACTTTAAGCACGCTTCATGTCCAGCTGAAAACATCATAGCTTCAGTTGCTGTACTAATTAGCACTGCTGAAAAGCCAGTAAGCCCTCCCATGGTGGGGCACCTCTTTTGGAGGTGGTGCCTGGGGAAGGGCACAGCGTCCTCGAGGGCAAGTCTGCACCACAGATGTTTCCTTACTAGCCCTTTGTTGGAACTGCACAGGGATTCAGTGCAAGCTTTTGGGAAAAGCCAATGCAATACGAGTGAACTGGGCATTAAAATAATGCTAGGCAAGGCTTCTTTGAAGGCTCCAAATGCCCTGCGAGTACTCCTACTGCTGACTGCACTCCGTGACCTCTGCATCTGAAGGAATAAACTTTTATTTCTATGACCACAAGACCTAGACCCCCACTGTGCCGCACTGCACACAACAGAACAAATCCCATGGCTCCTTACCAGCCTTCTCCAAAGCTACTGGGATGGCATAGGCAGGCCCTATGCCCATGACCTCCGGCGGCACTCCAACCACTGCAAAGGATTTCAGCACTCCTAGAACTGGAAGGCCTAACTCTGCTGCTTTGGAGCGTTTCGCCAGTAGAATTGCAGCAGCTCCATCGCTGATCTGGCTGGAGTTACCTGTTAGGAAAGTCACCAATATCATCACTTCAGCCTGGGCAAACCTGGTTACCAGCACCGCAAATGGGCTAGGAGAGCAGCTCACATTACCCACCACCAGGTCTTTAATTAGAAAACTCTCGACATACTGAGAGGCTTTACCTGCTGTTGTGGTGCCATTCTTCTTGAAGGCAGACTTCAGTTTGGCCAAGGCTTCCAGCGTGGTGCTAGGCCTGATCCCTTCATCTTGGTGCACAGTGATTGTTTTCTCGTTGCCCTTGTCATCTGTAATAGTAGTTGTCACTGGCACAATCTCAGCTTTAAATAGTCCCATCTGCTGAGCTCTGGCCGCTCTATCAAAATACAAGTTACGGAGGGTTGAAATAGTCTAAGATGACCAAGGTGAGTTCAAAGCATGGCTTGTAAAGAGACTGGTTTGCAGATCCCTTGTCAAACATCCTGTAAACGGGCACAGGACTGCAAATGGTGGTATGAGCCCTGTAACAGACCTGCTGCTGTAAGTCAAAGCTTTTGTCTTTGGAAGACACGAGTTCATTATGTCCCTGACTTTACTGGGACTTTTGAGTGCCTGCACTTGTGGCATTGTCACAACCATGAAGTTCTGTGGCCAAGGTCACAGGGCTGTTACTGTTATCCAAACAACAGGAAGAATAAATGAACCATAGGTCCTGAGTGTGGGACTCTCCCTCTTAATTTAAGTAGAGGCCAAATAGGCCAAGCTACACAAAAGGTAGATATTTTTCCTTGCTAGTTAATAAAGAAGGGGTCAAGTTCCTCCCTCTCTCTCTGCAGTGTGAAGACACAAAGGTCAGCCTGTCTTTGCTGGGAGGCAGCCCGCTGGCACAATGCACTAGCACTCAAATGTCAGTTTTTATCCAGAAAGGATTCCAGGAACATTACATAGTTTCATAAGGCATCTCCACAGGAGCCACTTCACTTAGCACCAAACCCCAGTCAGAGAGGGGTCTGGGAGCTATATCCCAACAGAGAAACATTAGCAGCTTGGGACATGCAACAAATACCATCTTCAGCAGAAATCACCAGGTACATTGAGGCAGAATGCAATCAGCCATTTAGAATCTGACCACAGCACTAGGCCTGGGGTCTCCCACACCTACAAAGGATTTGGGACCCTTATTTTTTTTCTAACTCAAGAGTTAGCATCCCTGGCAGCGTGGTAGCCCCGTTACACTGGTTTGGAGGAACGGGACAATCTACTAATAAGTGACTATTAAAAGTTGTCCATATATAACCACATTGCTTTAAGCTTTTGTTAGGAAAGTGAAATGAAAGTGTTGAATAGTCCAGGTAAAGGAAAGATGAGAACAAAATGCTGAAGGGTGAATCTGCAGATCCCCATGACTAAGGTCAGAGAACTACCCTCTTCCTCGGGTGAAAGGTGAGGCTTGTGTACACACAGCCTTACGATTTATCAGTGCAAGGCCAGCAAGAAAAGCTGGCATGCCGAGTTCTCTCGGAGAGGGGCCAGAATCTAAAGGTTAACTGGTGTATGCAGTAGCTTCCTGTATCAGATAAGCAACTGGACCAGGACCACACCTGACCAGACTATTTCTGAAACTAAATTTAACTCTTTAGCCCAAATGGCTCTAGTAAATCCAGAGTCAGCAGCAGATTGCCCACTAGTATGACACTACTGAGATTCCAGGTAGCAATTGGCACCGATTTATTCTAAGGAACAGACAAGTTTGGGAGAGTGCTAGGTTCATTTGGCACAAGATATCACAACAACGGCCATGAACAATACTGTACTTTACAGCCGCCCCTACATGTTCCCTCCAGAAAAGTCTGCCTCTGCCTCAGCCTTCCACTTCAGTCCAGGATGGTATCAGGCTGTCTAGCTAAAGCCAGCCCAAACATTCATAGAGGCTATACAAAGAGTGACATATCTGGGTAGTGATAAATACAGAAAGCCTCACTCATACAGATGGCATAAACATTCTGGGGCAAGATTTCCAGTCATGTACATGGGGGTCAGATATATTTTCCAGTGACCTCCGGAACACACCAAGTCCTCATTACTCCATGCTGAGAACCTTTTACGCCTCCCTCTCTACACATTGCTGGCATTTGAAAGGACACTTTTAAAACTTATTTTATGTATTACTTTGATATGCCACCCTCCCCAGAAAAGGCTCAGGGCAGCCTTGTAGCTTAAAATGAAGCTTTCAACATGAAACAAAACTGCTTCTGGTACGAAGGAATTTCCTCTTAAGCGGGTAATTTAATATGCTTAATTAAAACTAAACTTTATTCCCTTAGCACAAAAGAAAAGGGCTGTATTTACTTTTGCTGGGAAGCCAAGGCAAAGGCATCTTGCTTCTCTCGGGAGATTCCAAACTGTTCTGCCACATTTTCCGAGGTTATTCTGTAGGAAAACAATACTGCCATCACCAAGAGTGCTCCAAAGAGATGGGAACTGATCTTCATGTTAACACAATGAAGACCCAAGTTTCTCCTCCGCCTCGCACAAACCAGCTGCCACCATAACAAGTGCACAAACTCAAGGCATGGTTCTAGAAATCAGCTGCTCACAGCAATCTGCTTGAGGTGATTACCGTGTTTACCTGAATCCAAGATGAGGCGTCCTCTTCTCACCCCACCATCAGCATGGGGAAAAAATACTGGTCTTGGACTTGGGGCTGAAGTCAGAGCTGAGCTGCCACTTGTCCCGGGCCAGGATGGTTTCTTTGGTGTGGGAGGGGACTTGCAGCTGGGGGAGCATGGGGGAGACCACTGGCTGGGGTTGGAGTGGAAGGGGAAAACTGGGGGGAGACTTGTGTGCAGCTCAGAGGGCACAGGTGAGACCACACAGCCTGCCTCCTCCCCTGATTATCTTCTGCTTCAGCTCCAGTTTCTCCAGCCCCGGCACAGCGCAGCCCAGCCTAAAGCTGCTGCCGCTGCTGCTGACTGTCCCAGAGCTGCAGGAGAAGGTACGTGGCACAGGACAGGTGTGGTAATGCAGGCACAGGGGGCAGCCAGCAGTGGTTAGGCAAACACACAAAAGGGCAAGGGGCAGGCAAGGGTCTGACCCTTCACCCCTCACTACTGCTTTCCCCACTGCAGCAGTGGAAAAGACAAATTTAAGACAACCTTCCACTAAGCCTTTTTGTCTGGCAGGTCAGACTGGCAGCACCTCGTCCATCCATGGGCTGGTATTCCCAATCTGGTGCCCGGGCAGGCAAAACAGGTACCATTTGGCTGTATGGAAGGGGGCATGGGCAGGCCAGCCTCAACATAGCCCCACAGGGGAAAGGAACTTGATCCAGCCCTGCAAGGAGGGAAGGGGATGCAGCCTGGCCCTGTCGTGGGGGGAGGTCCCAACTGGGCCCTGATCCAGCCCAGCCCCAACCAGCTGCACAGGCCTTGGGAACTTGGCAGGGTTGGGGAGTGTGGTTGTATTAATGGTCACCACTCCCCTGCAGTCAAATTTCCATACCTCATGAGAAGCCCCATGTGCTAGATGCGATAGCTCCATGGCCTGCATTTGCCCTGAAGGGTGGAGGTTGAGCACCCCTGAACTAAACAGATTTTGTACGTGGAAAATTAAAACGCATTTATAATTTTCCACGTACAGAACCTAATTATTGGGAGGGGGTCATCTTAAATTCAAAACCATCGTGGATTTGGGTAAATACAATACTTTCAGTTTTTAAACAAAATACGGACCTTACAGAGGCAGGGTTAAGAAAATACCTTTAATTCTAGTAGACGTGAAGAAGATACTCACCCCATAGGAATAAGGCAAGCTCTGGTTTTACTGTTGTCCGCCACACGAGAAGTAATGTCACCAGGATTACTCATACCCCTAAGAGACATTGTTTCCATTCTAGACAGGAAGAAAAATGTTTGAATCTAGGTGTCATTCACCTTTGACTTAGTTTTGCAAAAGCTCCTTAATTATATCAAGAGAAAAGCTCAAATTCCTAACCAAATTGTACTGTAAGGAAGAAACACAATTGGTTATTGTACAACTTATGCTCAGCCTGTTTTTAAAACAAACAATCTAAGTAGAAACAAGAAATGAAGCCAGATCACTGCAGAATAAACAGTCCTATTTTTCTAGGGTGGGATATCAGTTTCAACAGTTCAATTCTCATGTTTTTACAATGTGGGTAGAAGTTACTGACTATTCTGGGAGTCCTTTTCTCCTGTAAACACAGTGGGGAAAGCAAAGGTTTCTGGATAGGAGTTTCCACCAATAGAATATTACCAAGAGCAATGAACGTACATGTGCTGCAGCTTATTTGAATTTGCTGTGTTTGCTGGCAGAAGGGGAAGGAATTGTGTGAGTTTTGGGACAGCCCCTGTAGGAGAGGGGCTATGAGACTGGGAGGGATATTGGGAAGGGGAGTGGAACTGGGTGGGAAGAGGCGTTTTGGTTTGTTTTAATACCTACATGCGAATTGGAGTTGGGAACAGATGGAATTGGCTAGAGGGTCTGCTCTTATGGGTGATGGGCAGGGAAGCAGCAGTGTGGGGGAACGAGGAACAGGAAGGAGTTTCAAGTTTTGGAGTATTCTTTGGGGAGTCTACTGTTGTTTCTTATCTGTGGGTTGTTTGTCATTTATTGTAAACTGCCCCGGCCTTTTCTTGATAAGGTGTGATATAAATTCAAATAATAATAATAACAACAGCAGCAGCAGCAACAATAGAGCTAGAAGTCTGACTAGCCAAGAGTTAAGCAAGCCACTACAGAGAGCATTCAAGCAAGTAACACCATGTGTCTGGTGTTGCACAACCTGAGCAAGGAAGTCAGGGTTCCCAGATGCTGCAACATTTAGGCTGGAAGCAAATTAACAGCTTCAAAACTGTGGGTAAAGGTACTGCATAAGCAGACTAGATGACACCAAATTATGTAAAAGCCAACCAGAAACTGCAAACCAAGAGATTTCTCACTGATCACCATACTGATTTCAAAGAGCAACCCAGGCCAGGCTTGAAATTTGGGGGAAATTAAAAAAAATAAATAAAAAAAAATCCAACAACAAAACCAAAACAAAAACACTTTGATCTTGCAAGTTTGCTTCTGCATAATTCAGATTCTTCTGAAATGCATCAACTCCGGGTTCATGTCATCACTGCTACTTATACAGAGAAGCAATGCTTTTTATACTACAGTATATTCAATTACAAATCCTATTAATAATCATCAGCTATTCAATTACAAATCCTATTAATAATCATCAGCAGTAACCGGTGAAGCTCCATGAATTAATTCAGTTGTGTTTATCTTTCCAGAAATAAATACCTCCTCCACTTCCATACTAATCAGTGTGTCTCATAGATGTGATGATCATCTCAGCACCTGACAAAACTGGAATTTGAGACCAACACCAGCTAATGAAATGGCTTGTAAAATGGTCATTTGCAAATGGCACTCTTGCTATTAGATATCCATATACAAAAAACAGGCTTTACAGGTGGGATGTCAGAGGCCTAATATATTCTTTAAAAAGGGTCTGTAACGATGGGATGCCCAACTAGGACCATTCCCCAGTTTCCCACTGCTTCATGAAACTCCAGGAGAAATCACAATGGCCTACAATTTCTAGAGAACATTGGGGATATGGAGACACTTCAAAAGAATATGATTTGCAGAGGATGTGTATTCAGGCTTCTGAAATATTCAGACCTTTTTAAAGCATATGCTTTAGGCACGCAAAGGTGTCTTCTCATTTGGATTCAGGTTTCAAATCTCACATGCTCAGTTCACTGATTTGTAAAGTGATGACAGCATCCAAATCAAGGGAATACTGAAGTGTATCAGTAAAGGTCTTTAAGATCCACACATGAAAGATGCTAGAGCAGCAAAATACTACTAAAGGCTAAAGGAGTAAATATCTGCATAGAAATACTCTTACCCACATGCCAAGCCAATGTCATAGGACCCATTTCTGATGCCGCCTGCAACAAAGATACTTTGTCAATATTTTTACCATCGCCTAGAGTTCAATGACATCTAGTAGGAGGACCGTGTAAATCTGCCCTGGTGTAAGCCAAACCATTTTTTTAAATGGATTTTCAGATAAGACAGTTTCAGCCCTTCCATCTCACTACCATTTCTACAGAAATGAAGTGACAGGATTTTCACAAAAGGCTTTTAGGTTTGAAGGTTACAACCAGTCTGGCACAGGCAAGTATTGAAAACTTGTAAAAGACAGAATTAGGGATGAAATAATAACTGTGAGAGGCTGACTCCAACAGGGAAGATGGATATCTTGCATGCTTACCAGCTATATTGATCACAGCTTGCAACCCAGAGGAACACTGTCTGTTGACACACGATAAAGGTACAGTCTCCGGGATGCCACTACAGCAAAACAAAGATAGGGTCAGTCGAAGACCTCATACACTCAACAATACAACTGAAGAGAAAACTCATCCCTTGTATTTGCTCTTGAACAAAACGTGCTAAAGACAAACCCATCTATGGCAGGGTCTGCTCTGCTGCATTTTGTCCTAGGCCAACAGCAGTGAAAGCTGTCTCCAGACCAGATCGGTGACTGGAATCAACCTGCCAGACCCAACTCTGTTAAAGCTGGAAATCGGTCTCCTTGGAACAGCTGTTCTTTGCAAGAGTGTCAGGCAGCCCCATCCCATTTGTCAAGATTTGGGGCTAAACGAGGTCACACGCCATACTGAGGGGGCAAAATGGCATTGTAAAAATTCAGAAGGACGTGATAGTCACTGATGGTTTGCAACCCGTGTGGTTGCCTTCACTGGCTCATGGGTAGTTGACAAAAGACAAATCAGTCAAGGGGACATAACGTGACAATAAAACCTGGACAAACAAACCCCCTGAATGATAAAACTCCATTAAAAAGAAGCTCAATTTAGCAACTCTCCTCCTCCCCACCCAACATCAGGTATTTCTGCCCGTCATTTCCCAGAAACACTTAAATCATAATAGAAGAAAATGAAAAGGCAGGTTCAAGCTTTCAAACAACGTTCTCTGTAGTTCCCAAAGGGCAGACAACGCTATAGTGTCATAGTGCTTAGGGCTGGAAGGGACCTAAAAAGATCATCAGGTCCAACCCCCTGCTCCAGGCAGGAACAAGTGCTGGGGTCATAACACCCCAGCCAAATATCTGTCCAGCCTCCTCTTGAAGACCCCCAAGGTAGGAGAGAGCACCACCTCCCTTGGGAGCCCGTTCCAGAGCTTGGCAGCCCTAACCGTGAACTAATGTCTCCCGAGGTCCAGCCTGAACCTTCCCTCTAACAATTGGTGGCCGTTACTCCTAGGAACCCCAGGTGGTGCCCAGGGGAACAGAGCCTCACCCAATTTCTGCTGGTCCCACCGGTGAGTTTGTAAACGGCCACCAGATCCCCTCTCAGCCTTCTCTTGTGAAGGATGAATGGATTCAGGTCCTCTCTTCGTAGGGCCTCCCCGCTGCCCCTTGACCATGCGAGTGGCCCTCTTCTGGACCCTCTCAATGCTAGCCACATCCCTCTTGAAGTGCAGCGCCCAGAACTGGACGCAGTACTCCCAACTGTGGCCTGACCAATGCCAGAGTGGGAGGATCACCTCCCTGGACCTGCTTGTGGTGCATCTGTAGATGCACGACAAGGTGCAGTTAGCTTTCGTGACCGCTTCCTTGCATTGGCAGCTTATGTCCATCCTAGAGTCAACAATGACTCCAAGATCCCTTTCTGCCACCGTGTTGACAAGAAGGGAGTTCCCCAGCCTATAGATATGTTGCTGGTTCCTCCTCCCTAGATGCAGCACCTTGCACTTGTCTGCATTGACTTCCATCCTATTCTTATCCACCCACCTCTGTAACCTATCTACATCTAGCTGGTTTCTGTTCCTCCCCTCCAGCGTGCCCACCTCGCCCCACATCTTGGTGTCATCAGCAAATTTGGACAGCGTGCTTTCCACGCCCACATCCAGATCTCTGATGAAGATGTTGAACAGCGCGGGCCCAAGGACCGAGCCCTGGGGGACTCCACTGCCCACATCCCTCCAGGTTGAAAATGGCCCGTCCACCACCAACCTCTCCAGTGTTCAGGGACATGGACTGCCAATGGCTTTACTGTACCTGTTGTTTGTGCTGCGCTGCAAGTCTCTGGAGAGTGAAGTCACATGTTTTGTGACTGAACAGACCCAGCACAAAGGGCAGCAGTGAAACTGTCTTATTAAAAGGATCTCAACTCTGACTTAAAGGGAAATGTGCCGGGAGAAAGCGTTCAGGACTTCGGTCCCTCTGCTAGCACCGTTGTATTAGAGCACCAGGCACTGCAAAGTTAAGCGAGGAGTACCCGTAACTGTACTAACGTACACGTGAGCAAGGAGGCTGGAGCTTTATGATAGCTTATTCCTCTCCGAACCAGTTAGTCTCTAAGGTGCCTCCCTGCCCTGCCTTCTGCCGAAGGCGTGAGAAGAAAATCGCTACTGAAGAGAACAAATTACAGCTAAGGACGTACGGTCCCCCTTCCTAAAACGGAGAGAAAAGGCGCAGAACAAGGGAGGTGAACAGACCCGGCGGCCTTGGGATCAGAAGTCACAAATTAACTTCTACCCAAAGAGCAGCCAGGGCGGCACCTCGACCCTCGACCCCGTCCCCCGGGCGGGCGCCCAAAACGCGGGACACGGCTCACCTCAGAAACTGCGCGATCCTCGCCACGTTGGCCCCCGCGCCCGGCTGCAGCACGTTGCCTGCGCGCAAACACACCGCGGCCACCCGTTAGTCCAGCCCCCGCCG